GTTAAGAGGCGTACTCGGGTTTCAGCACGACAACTTACTTAACGGCCTATTTAATGCTTCCAATTTTTCATGACTTCTAGAGATTATTTATTTATTATATTTCATTAAATTGTGATGGTATTAATTTAACTACGTATAAGGGGCTCCTTTTAACTAGAGTATGGAAATTCAAGTTCCGATGTTATGGAAGTCTTCCGGTTTGAGACTCACTCGGGGAAGTAGTCCCAGCCCAAACTCTCTTTGTACAGATACAATTTTAGGACAGTAATTTCTATTGTAATTATGGATTCAGAATTTTATGTGAATTTATATCTGGAAGATAACCAATTGAAACAAGAAAATAAGATTGTAAAATAATTGTTTTCAATATGACCACAATATTGAATCAACTATCATAACGAAAGTCCGTTTACCCCAAGTAAGGTGGCAGCGGATGTGGTGAGGTGGAAAGCAATTAGTAAGGACGATCGGTCGATTGGATGATGTTTCACGAGGTTGCAGTGCCAGTTGTCTCTCTCTCTGAAGTAAACGTAGATCAATACAATGTTTCCAGACCGCATTAATTATAACGATGAACTTAATTAAGAATGTCGGGACACGGCCGCACGGATCAAACAATAATATGTAATACTAATAACTATCAACACTCAAAAATACAATTACAATAACTCTAAGTCTATAGTGACTGACCGTGACTAAGCTTCATTCTCTCATATCATACTCATAGACTAAGTCTTACAACGGTTAGGAACGGTCTGAAAAGAGACAAATTATAAATAAAATGACCGACTATCTAGTAACAATTATTAACTAATTAGGCTAAATTAAATAAAGGAAAGTACAACTTTTGTAGGAACTTAACAAATAAGGCTCAAATAACTTACGATGGAATATTACGGGTGGAACTTAGGTAAGGAGAAGCAGAGCAGGTGGGATGGGTCTCACCGTAATATCACCTAGGAATTTATAAACTATTAGAAACCAAATAATTAGCGGACAATAAATGAATCTAATTCTAATGCTACAAAACGTGTATCAACATTAAACAAGTGGAAAATACTATTTTTATGAACATTTGATTAATATTTAATGTAAGAACAATACCTCGGGAAAAGATCCCCATAGCTTAGCCTAGTTACTGGAAGGATCGATCGGGAACAAGTAGTAGCGGCGAGACTATCTGGTGAGGTATAATTGTGTATAAATATCTTAACCGCATATTATGCATTCTGCAACAGAACTTAACCTAAGTATGAACTAATCTTAACATCAACATTTTGATACGATTTGAAGCAACGATAACAATATGACAAAAACTTAACTTTAAAACTACAAACCTATAATGAAAATTAGTAAAGAGTGGAGAGAGAGCGGGCACAACAGAGCATGACCCCCGGGCCGGAGATAAGGGAAAAGGCAGAAAGGCGAAAGGCTAAAGGCGAAAGGCTAAAGGCAGCGAGCAGCAGGCGAGCTTCCCTTTTTGTATAGTGCTGGTTGACAGGTCTTTGGGGAGTTGAAGGGGGAGTTGAAGGCTCAGCTGGTTCTCATGGCACTCTTGTAACACCTCGGCTAGTTCGTCAACACAATGATCAAAAATCAATGCTGTTAAAATAATTGTAAGTATTCTTTTAACTATAAGTTATAATAAATTTGAAACTTTAACAATCTTTAAGCCACTGCTTTTCCCACCGAGAAAGCTTCACAATTCTAAATACTACTAATTTACGAAGACTTAAAATACTAACTACAGCTTCACGCCGTGGGACATTGCAATCATATAAACCTTACAACTTTCAGCTTGTAACGCTGACTCCAAATATTTTCTAAATTGATAAAGACTTTAAATTATTCGACCGACTACCGGTCTCTCAGTACAAATATTTTATAAGATACTAATACAGGCCGTGAGATATTTGCAAACCTGTTCACCCTCAATTCACTATACCCCTACCTAACAGCGCTTGCTTGCGCTAATAAGCGCTTTAATTTTCCTAACATCCCTCAACATAGTTGCAATACAACGCGGGCGCCGGGCAAGTGTCTGCAGGAATTAAAAGGCGCTTATTAGTATTACCGCTTTTCTCGATGCCCGGCCCCTCAACCTGGTTGGAAATTGTCATACACTTGTCACAACGGGTGATACTCGTAAAATATTTGTTCCAGGGACCGTCGGCGAGTCCAACTCAGCGCGCGTCCTGGTAGTGCAGTAGGTTATAAACCTTCAACATACAAACAAAAAGTGGGTTAGTGGCGCAGTTCGTTAGTCGACCTGCCTTACTCGTGATATGCTGCTCAATCACGAGGTTGCGGGTTCGATCCCCGCCTGTGCCACAAGTCATAGGGTGAGCGGCAGGGGTGTGGGAAGCGCACAGGGGTGTGGGAACCTTTACTTTTAGTAGAAATGCGAGGTTGCGGGTTCGACCGTTATATTACGTCGTGACCCACAGGGGGGTCTGAAACCAGGTTTTCGATCAAATGCAGCCATTTGTAGTCAAACGTCGCCAACAGTTGCTCTCGTCCAATGAAATCGCTGCATTTTGCAAGTTAGTATGCATAATTGAATTACATATATTCATATGCGGAGCTTGGCTTACATAATGCAGCGATTTCATTGGACGAGAGCAACTTTTGGCGACGTTTGACTACACATGGCAGCGTTTGATCGAAAACCTGGTTTCAGCTCCCCCTGTGGACCACCATTGTCGTTTCATTTTAGCGTTTCTCATGCTGCGCATCAAATAATATTTTTCGCAACCATGCAACTTCGGTAACGTAGTAGGGGGTGCACGATAAAAAATAAATTTGTATCACGTTGTGACACTCACGGTCGTTTCACTAGTCCTGACGATACAGAGGGAGCCGCGCACTTCGTGCGCGGCGGGTCATACAACGTATGTGGTATGACAAAAATAAACTTGCTTGGATTTTCAAAATTTGTGTACTATGGTTTTTTTGTTTTTAGAGACTGTGAGAATTTTCATAGTACCAAATTTGTTATACCTTTTTGAAATGATCAGTGAGTTTCGCCTAGGTGCCATATTTGATGGTGCGCGGCTTTTGGAGCAAAATTAGGTGTAAAAGTCGAGTAATTTGACGAAATACGTTAATTTTTGCCGTATTATCAATTATTTTATTATATCTTCGGTTCCTGAACATGAATCATGCTGAAAATTTGTCAGAACCTTCCAATCATACTTAAATACCGAACCTAATTTAGTTGGGAGAGATTGGCCTTGATTAAGAGGTCTAAAAATGACAAAATAGGTATAAGTCCGTTGATAACTCAAATTCTGACCGTCGAAGTTGCTCAAACTAATTGCAAATTTAGGTTCAGTAGAACATAAGTGTTTACGTACGCTTAATTGACGATGTCAATTCATGGCAGCTCGGCGCGGCACAGTAGCGCATCTCGCTACAAACGTACGCCGATCTAGCCAGAGATCGCTGTGACATGTGAGAAGCCTCATTGAGTGCGCGGCGCGGCACAGTAACGCATCGCGCTACAAACGTACGCTGACCAAATTTCAACAAAATTGTTATATGGGAAGTATTATAACTTTTTGATTGTTTCCGATATAATGTGCTGGCCGAAATAAGAGCTAAAAACCATTCAATGGTCAGCGCGCGCGTCTTACGGTCGATGGCGCACTGTTTAAACGTAAATTGTTAACGGGTGATACTCGTAAAATATCTGTTCCATATATTGACGAGTCCAACCAGGCGCGTTGTAAACCTACGCTACATGCAACGTAGATTGGCGTAGCTGCGAATGATTGACATGGACATCGTGAACGAAGGAAATGATGTGAATAACAAAACTATTATGTATTACAAATGTTTTTAATGTTTAAGCGATCGCAATTATTTTCGAACCGCTTATAATTGCTAAAAACAATTATAAGGGATGGTTTTTAAAGCCTTTAATATATATGTAATAAGCAATTACAAATTATTATGTATTAGCGCTGAACAAAACATTTCATTATTAATGAAAACTCGCCAGATTTGAAACGAGTGCTCGGCTCCCCCTGTATCGTAAAAACGATAAAGGGGGTCACGACGCGATACAAGTGTCAAAGCGTTAGTATGTTAACTCAACGGGGCACTAAAACTTAAAAGTAAAATAATTCAATGAAGTAACTATTCATTGTAGTCTATGTAATAAGCGCCATGAGTTGGCACAGAATTTTTTCTCTCTGATTTTGATAAATTTGGTACTAAAAGTTGCCTCTAAGTGTGAATAATGCAAATTCACCGTGTAGCAAAATAACTGATAACGTCGAGCTATATGTGGGCCTCCTGTGTATTACAAGAATGTACAAAGGACGAAAAATGGGTAATTTATTGCTTAAAATGCCTATAACTCCTAAAATATTGAATATTTTGAAATAATTATTACAGTATCTGAGTATCGTAATGAGCTTAGTCAGACGCAACTTTTGGTACCACAATTATAATATTTGAAGAACCAAATTTTTCAAAAATTTGTTCAAAATTTCACACACCTTGTGTTCAGATTGAAAAATTTTGAAAATAATTTTCCTTTAAATCTTAAAATATTAGTACTAAAAGTTTCGTCTCGATGAGTTGATTACGATGCCATAATAATTATGTGATAATAACCGAAAATGTGAAAGTTATAGGCCAAAAACTAAAAATTTTCGCGAAAAAAGCACGCGCGGCGAACAAGCGCCGTGTAGCGTTTTTAGCGAAAATTGCTACACGGTGGATTTATTTTATTCACATTTTTAGACAAATTTTGGTACCAAATTTATCGAACTCAGAGAAAAAAGTTCTGTGCTCGCGCTTGGCGCTTATTACACTGACTATTGATTTCGGTTCAATAATCTGCATAACCCTATAAATGATTTTCATAACGTTTCAATGTTTTTAATTTATGCTATTTTTGATAACATAAAAAATAACATGAAGTCTTTGGCTTATTACTTGTTTTCCCAATATATTTTTTATTTTAAAAAAAATTCAAACAATATGTAGGGGGTGCACAATATTCACAAACTACGGCGTAGCGAAATAAAACTTACATCATCTTGTTTGGTTTAATGAGATCTTTCAGAAAAGTATACATTTGCACAAACTTTTTTTCGATTGGTCACGTGACCTCGCTCACGTGACCCAATGCTAGTGCGCTCGCAGTTGAAATTATCACGTAACTGTCTTTATGCCCTTCGAAAAAAGAAAAAGAAATCGAGCGCTAGAGTGACACGTCACGTCACTTGCGCTGCATTTCGGAGCTGCAAGTAGGAATAAGATTTCATATTTTTGTTTGGATTTGTTGCCGTGTTGCAGTTCTTTGTATTTTAATTACTAGATAAGTTAGTGGATTTTAATTTTATAAGTTTCATCACCGTGTTTTAACTTTCCTGTCATTGTTGCTAAATTAAGTTTTATGTTTAGCATGATTTGAAGTAAATGTACTTATTATAGTAGCCTTTTTTATTAGTTTTGCTTTCTGGCCATGGCATTTCTATTGTAAGATATTGACGTTAATTCCTTAGCTTGTGGACCCACATTAATTATATGCAAGACTAGACAGCCATAATTACATTACTTATAAATTTTTGGTTTGCTTGTAGTTGTAGGCGCTTTGTTGGCTCCTGGATAGTTATATGTCTCATCAAGATTTCTCGTTATGGGAAGACGCCAATCAGGAGCTTTTGTCCATTTGTAAGTCTGATAACGCCTTTAATATCGTATACAGTAAGATGCAGGAATTGTACCCAGACTTTCACTATATGCACATGTTTTCAAGTCCTCCTCTTTGCTTTGATCAGGCTTTGGCTAAATTTTCTCCTTTACTTAATGATAAAGAGTACATATACTACCTTCTGCATTTTCATTTTAAGAGAAGCGCTATTCCTCCTGCTAGTAGAAAGTTTGGTCCATTTGTAGGAAAGTACAAAAGATCTAGCGCTATACATTTTTCTAGAGATCATTTACTGTCTTTTCTTGCTGTGTTATTTCAATGCAAGGATATTACACGTGCTGTTTTGGATAAGGTGTGGAATAAGATGCATAAATATCTTCTTAAGTGCCGAACTCCTGAGTCACGGAACTGTTTCTTTTCTCAGTCGTTCGATATAGCCAACTTTGTAGCCTGCACATGCATAAAGGATTCAGATAATGCGTCTCCGGCTGTCCGTACCAAAAAGCCTAGATTGAGTCATAGTACCCCGGTTCAAACTCCGCATAGTTCTAAGCGAAAGCGAGTTAGTAAACCTAGGAGCAGTGTGGTATTCAGAAACGTTGCAGTTCAGACATGGCATTCCTCCTTCAAATACGATCTGGTTCGAAAAAAAGTCGTGTCAAGCAAAATTAAGGCCAGGCTCATAACATCTGCACGTTGTCAGCACATTTCATCGACTTTAGAGAAGCATAAGGCCGATAATAAGCAGCTACAGCTAGAAAATGGGATGCTTAAGGCTAATATCGACGTTCTATTGCACAAGCAAGAACACTTCCAATCTCAGATAAGCTTTAAAGATAAGAGCATCGCAGAATTGCTGGCAGATTCTGACAACCTCAAGGCTAGCTTATGTGATATTAAGGCTAAGTTAAGGGATTCCAATAATGAATGCAAAGTGCTCGATGATGAGCTTTGCCAATACCGAGATTTAGAAGCCCAAGTAGATAGAATTGCAAATGACCCTGATTTTAAGCTCCGTATTTCTGAGGCCTCTAAATCCTATGATAGATCAGATGCTGCTGATACGAAACTTTCGAACCAGATTCCTATGCGAAGTAGTCGCAAATCTATCAATCCTAAGATTGATATTGCGTTGTCCATTTTGAGACACGTTGGTCTTTGTTCGCTAGAGAAATGTTTTGAAACGTTAGTACTTTTAGGAAATCACGTCTTTGATCAGGAATGGGAGTTAAGTAGCGATGTTTCTAATAAGCGAGCACGTCAGATGTTGCCTAGTGATAGTACTAAAGGTAATGTATCAGAATCAGATCCTGGCCCCACTTACCCAAATCCAAGCAGCAGCACGAGCAGTATCCCGGCCAAAAGAACAATGCATAAGATCACTAAGAATACAGCTCCAACTCAAGGCTATCTGCGTAAGTTTGAGGCCAATGTGTACACGCCCTTAGCTCTTCAGTCTGTTGCACAAGAGCTGAAAAGCCCAAATCTTGTAACATCGACCATCATGTATGATGGGGCTAGTATTAAAAAGGGCAAAGTAATGACAGTTGGCGTGGTTAACGCTGTAAATGACCCCGTATCAAGCAAAGTTACATCGCATTATCGCCAGCTTGGGCTTATGGAGATGGTTAAGAGTGATACTGATTCTTCATTCAAGGCTGTAACTTCTACCTTACGTAATGCTGCCGTTCTTGATTCTGATACAGTTAGCCATGAAGACGTCCTCAGTTCGACCAAAGATGTATTTTCTAATATCGATTACATTGTAACAGACTTAGGTGGCGAGATGAAGCCTGTCAGTGAGAAAGTTTCCGAGCTTAAAGTTTCACTTGGTCATGATAGTCGGCCAACTTACATCCATTGCAATGCTCACGTTAGTCCGGCGTTTGATTCTGAAATAGATAAGGAGTTGCATGCGATTGAATCACTCCTTGATATAAAGCGATATGTTGACAAAGGTTTTAATTCATCTTTCTTTAGTTCAAGCCGCTCATGTACTTACACTATGTTGCACGCTCTTTTTAGTATGCTAGGTTCGTCACTATATAGACAAAAAGAGCAATCATGGTCTTGCCAAAAGGATTTTACCGAGTTTTTATTAGCTAATAAACAACCTCAAGACACTTTCTTTGATCCTAATAGTTCTAGATTCGGAAAGGAGTCTGAAATGTGCTTCATACTTGCATTTAACTTTGATAATGTGCACAATTTCATTTCATCGATACACAAAGATAATAGAATGTTTAAATCTTGCGAGTATTACATCAAGTGCCCTTGCTTTATAGAGCTTGTTATCTCAGTCGCATTGATATTTTATCACATCTATGCCCCATTTTTGGTTGCCGTCGGTGCAGAAACGTGGCTCGGTCATACTCTCCTGACGCATAGTCAGCTATTTTCTTACTATCCCAGCCTCAAGCATGACTTAGAACAGCTGACTATTGATCCTAGTTCGTTGTTTACTAAATCTCGTCTCCCTCATTTATCTGATTTCCCCCAGCTTACTCATAGTTCCAAGGTTCTATATACTCGCATGGCTGATAAGATTTTTGATGATTTAGATAGTGGTATAGTTAACGGCGAGATTGAGAGTAAGATGGTTGAGTGGATGGTCAAACTCCTTTGTGAGCGCTTGCTTATGGTTACAGATAGGCAGGTGGATGAGTATTATGGAGGTCCAGATTCAGTGGTTGGTAGAGAGCTGGCAATAAATCCAGATAAGATTGATATGGCTGCCACGACCCAGCTGCCTTGTGAGCACAGTGTTGGGACGCTAAGACAAAGCTATCGCCGAGGACCTACTGCTAACATTGAAACATTTTCCCAGCACCAGGTAATCAAGAAGAGTCCTTTGTACGAGAAGCTTCTCTCAGGTGTTATTACAGCTGATCAGTTTGGCAAAATGATAAAACTGATTAAGAAATCTGCGTCACTTAAGTTGTATATCCAGCACAGAGACGATGATCGCAAGAAGCTTAAACAGGAAAAGGTTCTCCACCTGTACGAGCAGAAAAAGAAGCGAATGAAGGAAGTTCGTGATAAGGCTGGGTTGGTTAGTGTGGTAAAGGATCATGGAGGCCCCTGCCAAACAGAGGAGGATGTAGAGATCATGGTGGGTAGGTATGAAGGTAGGTCTGAGGCTCTGATGAAGGATCTTTGGAACGAGATCAAGTATCAGAAGAAGGTCATTCTCTGCATTGGTTCAGCTGATCAGAGTCATGGTGACTTGTTTAAGCAGAGGATTTGGAATCGAGCTACCAGAAAGTATGACCCTGTGCCGTTAGAGCAGCGTATCAGTAACCTAAAGAGTATTCTCAGGTTACAGTCTGTAGATGGAGATGGGAGTGGTTTAGTGCCTGCACCGGTGATTTCGGTGGATCAGTTCGTCGAGAAGGCTTCTGCTAGGCACGCAGAGTTGAAGGGGTTTAAGCATCGTGCAAGTGTTACTTCGGGTAGTGATGATGCGGGTGAGCATGATATAGTTGATTTGACGGGTTCCTTTTATGATGGGTTGGTCGATGAGAAGTTCATAGCAGTGTTCTACAGTGATGACCCCTCTACACCATGGTACCTTGGTGTGGTTGAAACGGTGAGAAGCAACGATGGGTGCGAACAGTGTGAAGAGTTCTCGTTGACTGGTTTGAACTCATTTGGGCATTGCTTTGTTGTTAGGTTCTGTGAAGCCAAGAGAGGGTCCTGAGCAACGGATCAGTCCAACTCAGAATGGGAGTTGGATACAAAGGCGCAGCTTTATCACGTCAATGCTTGTCAAATTGTACCATGCAAGGTCAAGCTGGCTGATTCAGGCGCAGCGATAGTAATCGGTAGTAGAAGCGGTAAACATCCTAAAAAGGGAGTATCTGCTAGGTTATTGTCGTACACTGTGAGCAATGCAAAGGAGATCGATAGATATCTACATTGTAACATTCTTTACTCTCTAATCAATGCCGAGCATAGTTAGTAATTAGGTCTCATAGTCTTACTTAGGTATTCATGTAACTACGTTATTGATTTATCTGTGCCTTTTCGGAAAATGTTAAATGGTAATAAAGCCAGGATGTAATGAATAGCATTTAAAGATATATGTATGTATGATCTCGATAAAATGCATGCCTTAAAAACAAAAAAATTAACTAAAAATATTTTAAAATATCAAAAAAATATTTAAAACTTTAAAAAAATTAGGTATCATGAATCATGAGACAGTTGACAATGACATGGATAGCCTGAACGAGAGACTGGAACTTAGAGGCAGCACCCGACACGCAGGTATAAAACTTGGTACATTTGTTTTGTCGATATTTCGAGACGTTTTTGTAACAAAGCATGTCTTATTCAGGTGGAGATTGCTGGAGGATAGTGTACTGATGTGTGATGAGGACTTCGCTGTAACTTTGACGATAGGACAAACTCGAGGTACGTTGTTGGTTTTGCTTAAAACTGCTCTGGATGAAATTTTCATCAAAAATAAATTTTCTCGTCACGATGTGATCCATTTTACTATCGAAACATTTCCTTACCATCACATGAGTCATGACGTACTGTTAGGTTCACTGTTGAGCAACTTGAAATTGGAGGCAGCCATATTTTTAAAATGGGGTGTTTAACACGGTCGGGTCCTAGCACACTTTCGCCCATTTTTTTCTAAAACAAGGTCGGGCAAGGGCCCGGGTGAACTCCTGTTCAGAGTATCTTGCTGTATTAATGTACGTATCAAGTTTTGGATTAAAGAATTAAAGTCAAACTACATCTTTCAGTTGGTAATCGGAGATAAACCCCAGGAGATCACATAGGAACCGTGTGCTAAACGGAGCATAGGGAGTTTATAGTTGCAGAAACCTTCTTCAGTATTAGCAGCGTAACTTCTAGGTCAGTGTGCGCCCCTTTTTACAAGTCCAAACGTTTTGATACTTTAGAATTAATTATGGAATCTGCAAGATTTGTTCAGTTTTCACCATGCTGCCTGAATTAAATATGATAGGTAATATTTAACTCTCCCAGGATTTGGTAGGCGAGAGTTTTAAGACGGACCGGCCGCTATAAAATAGGTATAAAAGCTCAAATTTATCATGATTTCTTCTCTATTGACAATTATCCCGTTCACATTTTCGTTCAATTTTGGTCAAAGTAACCAATTCGCCTGTTGCAGTATGTAATAGACGTAATCGTAAGATAAAATGTTTCCAATATAATAAGATCACGAATCATCTAATTTGGATTTGGGAATTTGTGGGCCCCGAGAAGTCTACTAAAATTCAGCTAAATAAATATCAGTAAATTTTCACCTCCTAGTCACCCGATCAGTGCTTGCCAATAGACTGGGCCCGACAATTAGAACTATCACACCCTCCCCACAAATTTTTTGAGTAGAGCCAATCTCTACTCTGAACCGTAATCACGTGACAATTTCCATCCAATCCGCTTCTAGGCATTAGGTATTTATAGGCAACTGCCCAACTCCTTCACAACGTGTATTTCCCGCTATAAATCGCAGAGTTAGATAAACAATGAGTGACACGTCATTAATTGTGACAAGCGGATTGCAGACTTATATCCGGGTTGATCGATTTGTTCCAAAGTTCAGCGTAATAGAGATTGAATTAGTAATCCATTTACCTGGAAGTTAATACGTTACACGAACCGTGCTCACCTTGTAGTTTAACATCGAGAACACTGGAAAAAGGGAAAATAAATAACTCAAATCCAGCACCTCAGCTATACCAGCCCTATGACGATTCACCGAAACAGTCAGGCACCCCCAGCTTCCATTGAGCCCCCAATTTTATACCGAGCCCCCACCTCTTACAAAAGTTTCAGTATTTGATCAGGAATCGTCTCAATCCGGGACACTGACCCAGACTCTTAGAGAAATAGCAATTTTTGCATCTCGTCAATTGTCATTAAGAGAGAGTGGGCGGGAAGCGTAGAAATTTTAGTGACAAATTATGCTGCTATTGGGAGTGTCAATCACAATCTATATTAAGTGTGTACTGACATCGAGTTCTTTGGAGTAGGTATCAGCCGCTTAAAGTTAATGATATCACGAGCTTTATGAGTAGGTATCCGCCACAATTGACTAATTTCAAGGCTTTAGAGCCTTCAGTCACTATTTACTTAGGTATATTCAGAGTGTTGGAGGTGTCGGTCACTGTCTGTAGGTGTAAGTATCTTTATATTAGATGTGTTGGCCGCTAAGGACTGATATTAGTAGCTTTGGAACTTGGAAGAGACGACTTTTTGCTAACTAATCAGTACTGAAGATATAGTCAAACCTGGGTTGTGCCTATTCAATGGTAGTGTCTGCAGCCACTTTGCAGCCAACTTCTAGAGCTAGAAATTTTGGGCTTATACTTTGGTTTTGATCGGATTGGGCCAATTTTCCGTTGTTTCGTGCATGTGATTTAAGCACTTAAGGGGACGCCCATAAATATTCTAGTCCGCCGTCCATGCAGAGTCAGACGCTATGTTATATGTTAGAGTTCCACATAACTAAGATTGGGAAGAAATAAGAGACTCGATTGACCCGCACTTTCCAATCATCTTATCATGGCCTCCCTAAAGTGGGTTAAAAATTTTAAGCCTTTTTTATGCCTTAAAGTTTCCATTTCACATTTATGATTTTAATTTAAAATCATAAATGTGAAATGGAAACTTTAAGGCCTCGTAACTTCAACTGTTAACGTTGAAGCATCATGATATTTGGAGTTTCAGTCAAAAAAGGCTATTTTATCAGCATCTGAAATTTCAAGATTTCATCTTATGAGTTGGCCAAGTTATCACCTTCCAAAGATTGCACCCAAAATAGTCCGTTTCGGTTAAGTTTTGTAGCCTTAACCATGTCTTAAGAAAGTCCGACCGCTCCAAATTTTCCGATTGATTTTGAATGAATTTTAGCGATAATTGGTATAAATCTTTTCTTATCATTGATTGACGGGTAATACCCGTCACGGTTTCAGGCTGCGTGAGAAAAATATTTTGCGAGCTGCAGCAAGACGGCTATTACCCGTCAAATCATTGATTGATATGCAAGTCGAGATTAACGGTTTAATTTAAGAATGCACCCGTTTGGGTATCAGTATTTTATCGTCGATGATTGTGTAATACTAATAAAAACTTTTTCAGATGGTAAAACTGGAGAGGTAGCCGATTTACACGGGGAGCAGGAGTAAGAAGAATACGATCTAAAGAGGACTCTGAAGGACGAGAAGGCCTCGACATCGCGTACGACTCTGTACGACTGAGGCAGGATAAAGACTTTTGGACGTATAGACAGGACTTTGAATAATGTTTTGAAATAATGGATATTAAAATTATGATACAGACTAGAGATTAAGTTTTGGGATAAAGTTTTGAACGAATAATCTTGTGCTTATGAGTTTTCAAGAATCCGATTTAGCAGAAGTTTAGATCATGAAATGTTAAATTATCATTACTAGAGAAATTGTGTAATACTGTTGTTATGTTTTGAGTATTAAATGTTTTTAAAATGAGATGTTTTTCGACTTAAAGCCACATATAACTAAAAATAAAACGTGATCAATAAAACGTTTGATTAAAACTAAAATAAGCGATAAATTTCTACTTGAACTTGATGACTGTACTAGCGAGCCTTTGAGCGCGCAAAAACATGCGCGTCTAATTCTATCACAAACGATCACGGTTACAATTTGTAGATTTAAGCGCCTCCACATGACGCATGATGCAAACATTGCCATTTTCGGTCACACAGTAACTGCAAAACACCTATAATACTCTTACAAAGTCCTGCTTGAAAGGGTCTTCAGAATGAAGAGGATTCCTATACAGAGAAGAAGTTGTCAGCACTTCAATGTCATGTTAGTCACATGGCAGTGAAAACCTGGTCACATGTCCGTTACTTTGAGCTTTATATACTGCGTTACTTCGCGTTGCACTTTGCAGCTCACCTAGAATGTTCAAATTGGCAGTGAAATGATGAAATCGATATATCTTGCACTTTGCAGCCTCCGTGATTTCCTAGTTCTGCTTCTTTGTTTCTGTCGTCATAATGTGTGCTCCCGTCATCAAATCTAAACACCGTGTCCCTATTCAACGACGTGCGTTAACTTAATTTAGATTTGAGGCAATTTGAATCAAGATGTCCGAGGTTTCTTCATCATTATAGAAGTAAGTGCTTCAGTTACTGCCTTGCATTGTGATTTGTTTTGTCTTGTGCCTTAGAAGCTGTAATACTACCTCGGAGTTAGAGGGACCAGAACACCGTGGAAGAGGACATCTTCATTCCACACTGACGATTTTGGCCTCCTAGCACACGACGCCGGGATAGACACGAGACAATAAACATTAAATTTTAAACAACATGATATGCACATTGGACTAATGATGCTGTTTTTCCCACTTTATGGAGAGAATGCTTATGATTATAGTTTCAATTAACACATTTTGAAGATGACTGGATTTATTGTTCATTTGCATGCTATGTATTGTATTTCGGTTTATCTTCACCCATAAAGGGTTTGACCGTTGGGAGCGGTATCAAAAAAAAGTTACAGTTCAAGACTAGATATGAGACGGCTCAGGTATTATAATTCACGCACGCGCACGAATTTATTTGGATATTGGCTGGCGTAAATTGCTGACAATTGTGTCATATATAGACAGGGATTTTACAAGTCGCTTTATTTGGTCAACTAAGGTCAAAATCGTTTCAAATTTTCAAAATCTTTAGGAAATATGCCCTTCTGCTACGCATCACTTGGATTTTTTCCGCACTTGAAAGGCAAAAACGCCAGAGTCGAAAATGTACTTAAATTTCGTGAAACGTAGGTTTTTGATGATTAAGACCTGTTCCAGTGGCCCAATTGCTTATATATTGTGCTGCCAATCAGAGGGACATATTTCCTATAGACTAGGAAAAGTTGAAACAATTTCGACTTTAATTGACCAAATAAAGCTACTTCTAATTGATTTTATACTTCCGGCCCAATTCGAGGGGGTCTACTAGACGCAAAACGACAGCATTTAGGGCGCGCATACGATTGTGCACCCCCTACAATATGAAATTCTTGACATACGTTGCATGCCACTTTTCGCGCGCGCCGCCGAAGAAAGTCAATAGGAAAACAAATTTTAGGAAAACAAATTTAAATTTTGGTATTTATTGATAACAATCAAAACATATCATATCATAACAAGAATTGCGCCCGTTGTTTTGTTTTGGCGGACGCTAGATTTCCATTTCACATTTACTATAAATTTAAGTATAAGCTCCAATCAGCTCACTTCAATCTTCATGATAATAATATTGATAAATTATGCATCAAATACGGGAAACACTTGAAATTCAGTTCAATTGCCGTAGAACTTAACTTGTATCTGTAATTCAAGAAATTATCAGCAAAGGTAAACTATACTCGTGTACACATCAATACACTATGCGTGCCACGTACAAATTGGGCGTATTACCTAATAGTAATATTATACATTACATGCATCATATACATTAAAACACAGTCGCGCCGCGCATTCATAGATCACAGGCTATCTATACATCACATCTCCGCAAGCAATCCTCGCGCGCGCGCAACTTTTTCGTTGCATGGTAACGGACGGAATGACATCATATTCAGACCCGCCTACTGCTATCTCCAAAATCCACGTTTTTCTGCAAAAACCTCCATTCGTAACCTTTCACTATTGCCTTTTTTCAAAAGGGTGAAAAGGAAAAAATAAAGCCGCGCGTTGGTTGACTGCCTCAGTAAGGTCACTGCTGCGCGCAGTGCCGTGACCGGTATGCGTCGTAATTAGCTCGTATTCAGATTTGAACAATTTTGAAGCCAAATTAAGGTGTTTGTTTTAGATTTGAATAAATAATATGGACACAGTTCGAAAGTAATTTGTCTACTAAATAGTATTATGAAAGAATGAACAAAATTGGTTAAAATTTGCCATAGATGTGACAAAAAAACTACGCACAGGATTGAATATTTCTCCACCAACGCGTGAAAATTTCTGAGTTCAACATTATGTATTTCAGCTTGGTAATTGAAGTACTCAATTTTTAATAGCCTAATCCGATTACTAAGTATTTTATTTATACGACAGTATAAATTTTTTTTGAATATTTGCTAGATTAAAATAATAATAGGAGTAGGAACGTCGAAGGTCTTGCGCTTATTTTAGTCCCAAAATATATCCTAATCATTAATTTCATAAAAATCACTGAAAGTGATGTCTACAGGTATATTTAGCCCTAACACCTTCCCAAATCATTTAGCAAGGGTTCATAGTCAGTTTTTAAGATCAACTTCAATATCATTGTTAAGACAGTGAAAGACATAATACTAAAAGTAAGTCATAAATGAGTGGTTTCTCTTTCTCTTTCATTTTAACACATCATGCATTAGTAGAAGCAAGTCCTCTTTAGTGTCTGATTACCTATACTCCTGAAAAGATATTAGGGATATTATCAATTATGTAAAAAGAAAACAATATTGAATATTTTTTCAGCATGAAACATTGGTAGCTTATGTTTTTGAAAGCTCGCTTATTCGTTTAAGCGATCAAATAGTCAGTGTGCAGTGCACAGTGGAGAACAGTTTAAGGCACCGGAAATGTTCCAAATAAATCCTCTGTCTACTATCAGACCACACACTCCACTATGCACTACAATGTATCGTATAACAATGGCAGTTGAAATGTGTTCCCGCCATTTTGAAATCAAAAATGTGCGCAGCATCTTACGGGTTATGCGCCGTGATCAATGGTCACGGCGCAATGGTTATGCGCCGTGACCATTGATCACGGCGCATACACATTGCATTTAAATTGTCGTATAAATGTCCAGCTTCTCAGTGAAATTTGGTTGACTCGCCTAATTTAAAAATGTAATACTCTTTGTTTCATTCTAGTTCAATTGTATTTCTATTATGGTCGGAAAGAATTATAATGTTTTTTTCTTCTACTGGGCCACATTCAGCCTGTCATTCCGCCATATTTTCAACGGCTATGAACACTAACATATGAACACTTATATGAGCCTGGCCCCATGTAAGATGTTTCTTTGTAGTCAGTAGTGTATTACTATTTCGGTTTTATAGTTGCATTTAATGCAGTAAATATTAATGGTTTCTTCACCTCTTCAATGTAATTGGTTTGGAGGTCATTTGAAATAAGGAGGTAAAATAACTCACATAGCTTCCGGCAAGTTCCACGGATACAGTGATTGAGTTTCTAGTCAACCTAGCCTCTTTGCCTGACTGATTTCTTGTTCGGCAGGGTGACTGCTTAGTGCTTAAACGTCAACTTCAACCTCTTCCACTGCATCGAATCGTACTAGTAGAATTTGTACCTGACATATTACATTTAGTTAAGCGACCTTCACATGTGGGTCAAACTTAGTATTTCTGAAAGTTTCGCCAAATTTCATTGATTTCAGAAGGTGTGGCAGGGTGTAGGCCATACACTGAGTAACATCTGCTTATTTAGTCAAACATCTAGTGTGGCCTTGCCCATCAGCAGCCTGTCCGATACTTGGAAGCTGGAGAAATGTCGACTCCAACAGTCCTACCAGCAGTCTTCTGATGACATGATAAGGGCGATTCAACCGCAAGTCAGGTCAGGGAGAGTTTGGAGACCAGACAAGGAACTAGATTGTGCTGAGAGGGACTTAGTCTGTGAAGAGGTGAGAGGAATGGTCCAGCCGTACAGCAGGGCAGGGATTTGTTTTGGAGAATGGAAGAAACCGTGGAAGAAGATGAACGCCCGGGAACAACAAGCTGATGTCCTTCAGAGAGTTAAAAGAAACCTCGAGCATGAAAGGGAAGTTCAATGCGGCTCTCTTGAGATGCAGTCAAGATGGGGTCAGTGGAGGGAAGAGGTTATGAAGACGGACATGAGCTGGCACACACTCTTTAAGTATGGTGATTCGCTCACAGGTTTTATGCTCAGTGCGACTTATGGTACTGTGGTCACACCAAATTGATTTCTTCAAATAATCCAAATACAGGCAGCGATTTAGTCAACTTAAGTTTATCATTTATGTAATTGAACATTAAAAATGAATCCTTCATAGAATTTTGCATTTTTCATTATCTCGAGGGTATAAAATTGTCAATTGAGAAACACGTCAAATCTAAACAAATAAGTTCATTAAAATAGCTTATATCAATCAGTAAATGAACGAACCTGTACATCTAGAAGATATGATGTAGGTCCACACTTGTAACTTGTCAGACCGGTTGTTGTACAGCTTCCTGTTCAGCCTGAAAACACATTTCTGTTACCATGACAATGTTACCATTACAAGATACCCGTGATGAGGAGTGTCATGACGTTGGGGGGGGTCCAACTACAAAAAATACGAACGCACCCCTAAAATTTCAAATTCGTATTCGTATTTTTTTCGTATTTTTTCGTATTTTTTACAAATCGTCATTTTGATAAATATAGAAGATCACACATCTTCGTAATTAATCAGATCTAAGCTCAACTTAGCAGTGAAGAAACATTAAGATAATAAGTAAACCATCATGTATCATACATAAAACCTGGGGGTGCAACAACAAAAACGATGAACCCACACAAAATTTTGAAATTCGCTCCCTTTTTATCGTTTTTTAATTAAAATTTGGGATATATTGTGATCCATTTTATGTTTTATTGGAAATTGGTCCATTTAACTGGGGGGGGGGGGGGGGGGGGGGGGGGGGGGGTCAACCCGATTTTTGATATGAGGGTTGATGAGGCCAAAATCGGAATCGGAAAAATCGGAAAATTGAGAAATTTACAGAATCGATCTCTAAAACCTCTCAGAAGTGATATAATTCAACCAGAACCCCTACATAATACGTATGCTATATAATATTGTGTATTGTGATGAGAAAACAGACCAATTGGACATTCCATTAGTATGTTTTATGTGTTTTTCCACTGCAGGGGCTAGTATGCTCACTACTAGTTGGAGTTATCATGTACTCTCAGACCCGTGATGGGTTTAAAGTTGGAAGTAACTACATTGCTGATTTGGACTTCGCCGATGACCTAGCAACAATTACTGACAGCTTCAGCGAAAATGGCCGCCTTTGCCAAAGCATTTCTGACATAGCAGCCCGTTATGGTCTCCTTATTAACATCGGAAAGACCAAATACATGTCCTATAACATCCCGCGACCTGTCAACTCAGACGATAGAGTCTTTATTAACGGCAACCCTTTAGAAGAAGTTCATGACTTTAAGTACCTAGGATCCTTTATAGCCTCAACAAGCAGAGACATCAATGTCAGGAAAGGCCTCGCATGGAAAGCTTTACAGAGTCTAGATGCTTTTTGGAAATCTAATATGTCCAGGAAGATCAAGACTAAGATTTTTCGAACTGCAGTAGAACCTGTTGCAGAAACCTGGACTCTTAAAAAGGCTGATATCAGAGCACTAGACGGTGTTTATACTAGAATGCTACGAAGGGTCTTTGGTATCTCATGGAAATCACATACACCTAACTCCGTTCTTTACGGAAAGATTCCATCGGTGACAGATACTATTTAAGACACGAAGACTTCGTTTTGCAGGACATGTCTACCGTCTACAGGACCAACCTGCTCAACAACTCCTTTTCTGGCAACCATCCTATGGCCAGCGTTATCGAGGACGACCACATAAGACCTTCCCGGACGTCCTACTTGAAGACACTGGAATGGAACCTGACCAGCTGCGTTTACTCATGTGTGATAGGGATAAATGGAGAGAAGCGTTGACACGAAACTCGTTCCAGATTTCATCTGGATCGACCTAGGTAGGTAGGCTCAGACCCGAGTGCTTTCGCCTCTTGTGAAATCGATTGTTTCTGCTCATTGATTTTATCCCTGTTACTTATTATTATGTATTAGTACAACACTAGGTACCGGGTTATATTTTGTGGTCCGGTCTTTAAACATACCATAATATCACTATAGTACACTGCACGCCTTAAATGTATAGTCAAGTACATTTGTATCGTGACACATGCTTATTATTGGCTTGAGTCCTCCTCCTCAGTCCTCCTCCTCCTCCTCTTCATCCTAAGTCTTCTTCCTCCTGAGTCTTCCTCTTCCTCCTCAGTCCTCCTCCTCCTCCTCTTCATCCTAAGTCTTCTTCCTCCTGAGTCTTCCTCTTCCTCCTCCTCAGTCCTCCTCCTCCTTCTCATCAGTCCTCCTTCTCCTCTTAAGTATTCCTCCTCCTGATTCCTCCTCCTCCTCCCCAGTCCTCATCCTCCTCCTTCTTCTCCTCTTCCTTCTCCTCCTCATCAGTCCTCTTCATAGTCGTTCTCGTCCTTAGTCCTCCTCCTCCTGAGTCCTCCTCCTCATCCTCCTCCACAGTCCTCCTCCTCATCCTCCTCCACAGTCCTCTTCCTCCTCCTCAGTCCTCCCCCAGTCCTCCTCCTCCTAAGTCCTCCTCCTCCTAAGTCCTCCTCCTCCTCAGTCTCCTCCCCCTCCTCCTTCTCCTCCTCAGTCCTCCTCCTCCTCTGTCCTCCTCCTCCTACTCCTCAGTCATCCTCCTCCTTCTCAGCCCTCCCCAGACCTCCTCCTCATCAGTCCTTCCCCAGTCCTCCTCCTCCTCCTCCTCCTTCTCCTTCTTATCAGTCGGCCTCGTCCTCGCTCTCGTCCTCAGTCCTCAGTCCTCCTCGTCCTTAGTCCTCATCCTTTTACTCCTCCTCCTCCTCCTCAGTCGTCCTCAGTCCTTCTCCTCCTCAGTCATTTCCCCAGTTCTCCTCCCCCTCCTCAGTCCTCATCCTCAGTCCCCCTCATAGTCGTCCTCCTCGTCCTCGTCTTCCTTCTCAGTCCTCCTCCTCCTTCCTCAGTCCTCCTCCTCCTCATCAGTCCTCCCCCAGTCCTCCCCCTCAGTCTCCTCCCCCTCCTCCTTCTCCTCCTCAGTCCTCCTCCTCCTCCTACTCCTCAGTCATCCTCCTCCTCAGTCCTCCTCCTCCTCCTCCTCCTCCTCAGTCCTCCCCCAGACCTCCTCCTCATCAGTCCTTCCCCAGTCCTCCTCCTCCTTCTCCTTCTTATCAGTCGGCCTCCTCCTCGTCATCGCTCTTGTCCTCAGTCCTCCTCGTCCTTAGTCCTCATCCTTTTACTCCTCCTCCTCCTCCTCAGTCCTCTTCAGTCCTTCTTCTCCTCAGTCATCCCCCAGTTCTCCTCCCCCTCCTCAGTCCTCGTCCTCAGTCCTCCTCATAGTCGTCCTCCTCGTCCTCGTCTTCCTTCTTAGTCCTCGTCGTCCTTAGTCCTCGTCGTCTTTAGACCTCATCCTCATCAGTCCTTCCCCATTCCTCCTCATCCTCCTCCTTCTCCTTCTTAACAGTCGTCCTACTCCTCGTCCTCGCTCTCGTCCTCAGTCTCAGTCCTCCTCGTCCTTAGTCCTCATCCTTTTACTCCTCCTCCTCCTCAGTCCTCTTCAGTCCTTCTCCTCCTCAGTCATCCCCCCAGTTCTCCTCCCCTCCTCAGTCCTCGTCCTCAGTCCTCCTCATGGTCGTCCTCCTCGTCCTCGTCTTCCTTCTCAGTCCTCCTCCTCCTCCTTGAAGGGATGGTTCATTATATAGTCCAAATTTGTGCAACTAAGTACAAGGACTGTGATATTGCTCCCTGGCATTTTGTTTCCGACTCTTGCGAACAATTGTTTGCTTTCCTTCGCACTGGCTTCCACAAAGGACGCCAGACGAACCTATCAATTGCTTCGGTTGTGCACGGGGCAGCAAGGAAAAATCGGTGCCTTGAGCTTGATGCGAAAGGCAGCCATCTTGTTGCGAATGACGTTGCACACACTCGGGGGAAGACACTGATTCCCAATCCCAACCAAGTAGGGTGAGAATCCCTGCCACGTTTTTGGTCAGTTTCGCCGGGGCTCATGTCTTTCCTCGAGGGAGCATTAGTGTCTACAGAAAAACTGACAAATCCTAGCGAAGTCCAATCCGAACCACATCTTCCATCAGAGGTGGTGCTGGGTCAGCTGGTTACTGAACGGATTGGCCTGGAGAATGGCATAGTCCTGTTACTCTCAAGTTAACCATAGAGGGGGACAGGCGCTGTTCGCTCACGGCTGGTTCTTGGAGCCAACACCCTCAGCCCCACATAAGTGGGAGCACTGTCGGTGGTGGCTCACCCAGATAACGGACAGTGTCTCTCCTTCTTTCTTCTTGGACTTGCATTGTTGCTGGCGAGTCAGCCAGTAGCAATGCAGCATCTCACTCACTCAATCACCTCGTCAATTCGGTCCTTTTTTCATTTGCATTACTTTCGCTCATTCTCCTGTCATAATGCATTCTCTGCTACCATAATGCCTTTCTTACCACGGTGTAACGCATGTTACACCTTGCGTCTTTCTCTAACACCATCATCATTTCAGCAACCTTGGAATTTCAACCCTACACAGGTACACAGCACTATGGATATCCACTCTCCACTCTACGGCGAACACAAAGCTAGAGATCTAATTAGGATTCGAGTACCCCGGCTACCCTTGTGACATACATACGTGGAAACCAGTTTAAGCAGCAGTACATCGACACAATGGATCAGCACTACGAAATCTGATATCTGCATCATACTACTCCGATCCAGAAATCTTCGCTAAACCATCACATGAGATGAATAACTACAAGTTGGACTCCACATAACATTATTCCTTGTTCTGATCAGTCAATAAATGTAATCTGCATCAATTTTCCAATAATTACATCTTCTTACTAGTTTATTTTCCCTCTCAGGGCTGGAACGCAATGTTACAGCCCACTTTATAAATTACTAAAACTCGAGTTATTCCAGATTGACGACTTGACACAGATATTCATCAAACAACCTAAATAAAGGACTCCCACTCTCCAAACCAGTAGAGATCCAATCACTGCCTCCAGGGTACCCCTTCATCCGGTATTAGCAGTTCCTCCACCACCACCAGGTTAGAACACTCCCACTAATCACCCCTAAAAAACGAACCTACCGCCTTGCTCCACCAAACACAACTTCAATCAAATCCAGTTACTCAAACCGGTTAAATCCGTCCTTCAAATTTCCCGCATTAAACGTAACGCGCGAACGCCATACAACTCAAGGACGTAGCAACCTAATAGTCGTCATTTTTTAAACAGAAAATTTAGTGCGCGCGCGAGCCTGCGCGCGCGCGAGCTTACGACTAATCCACGAGATTACGACAAATCCACATAATTGAAACGTTCCATCACTCCAGGTTGATCTGATTAGTAAACTCAAGGAAGATGATACCAGATCAGTCCCGAACTTCGCCTCAGCATCATACTCTGCCTAGTGTCGATAAAGAGGATTCACAAACAATCGAGATTCACTTACAAATATTTGCTATTACTTTTTACAATTGCAGTTATATTCGTTGTTTTAATTATCTCCATCAACCTTGAATCTGTCACTGCCCATACTACATTCCCAAAATTATCTTAGCGCTCTTCCATCGTCAAACCCCACTAGTTCACTACATACGCCAACCAATAAACCTCAATTAGGATGGTTTTTGCAACACATTCTACAAGCTTAGAACTTATAAAGTAACAGCACCATCATAACCCACACATTACCTTCGCACAAATCAGCTATTCCCCATTCACTCACGAGCGTCGACATATCTCCGCATGTACATCTGTAAACTGGAGCGGCCCCCCGCGATGCGGAGCAGGTGAGCTACCTGGTTCGGGCTACTTCACTTATCAGAGTACGCTAGCTCCACAATACACTCGCCTTAATCCCTCAGATTTGCACGCATCCATCACCTTCACAGGGCCGGCTGCCCACATCCTGTAAAATCCTGATTCTATATGCTCGCGGGGTCTATTACCTGTTTGAGCTCTATTATTACGCGCGCGTGCCCAGTGTACAGCTCACCGGCTTGCGCTGTCCTCTTGGCATTGTTGTCGCCTTTATGACCTTCAAATCTAAAAGTAGGTTGAGGGCACTACATGGGGTCTAGCGCTGCCCCGTGTCAAAATACATACATACATACATACAATCCCAACCAAACACGGGTGTACAAGGGCAGAGACACCAGCCTCAAGAAACTTAGGAAAGCACTCAAGGAAGGCATCGACATGGGGAAGGATATGATACGTGCTCACACAAAGCTGTCCGGGTGCGAACTCGATATACCTACTGAACCCGACTGTTACACTCTAGTTGATGATGATGACAGGGAAGAGGCTGAGCTTGAGGCTCCCAATGATGTCTGATGATGATGATGAAATGGAGATTTATAACCAGTCAACTGGAGTTGTCACAACCGACGGCCGTTGGTACCATGTTGATACTGCTGCTGAGAAGTTCATGATCGACGGTCGGTCATCAATGGCAGGTCATACACGCCAAAGGAGAATCAAAGGCTACAGTATCGCCAGGGTGTCACTTTCTCGGCCATGTGAATCGCTTGGAAAAGACTGTAAACGTGTATCTGTTGGTGACAAGGGCTGGTTCGACAAGAAAAAATTCAAGCAAGCTGTCAAGTTCCGCGGGCAGGCTCTGTTCATGTCAACATCGCATATATTCAGCAAGGCTGACAGGTCGTCTGTCTGCCGTGTACCCACTAACTCCTTTTGTTCTACCCATTTTCTCTATTTTTAATCCTAAGGAATTTAAGCTGTTACTATAACCATGACTACTTTGTGTAATAAGTTTATCTAAAGAAAGATCTGATAGAATATTAATATGAATGTGCCATATATAGTCTATATATTATAATATATAATGGGTTCAGCCGAAGCTGATTAAATTTCGTTTTAGGGACCCAACTTACCAGATTTTAAAAGTATGCGTATTTGGCAATAATATTCTGTGATGTAGCATTCAAAGACCTTTATAAATCACAATTAATACATCATACTATCTGAATTGTGATAATATCCCAGTGATTTTGACATTTACGCTTACGTGAGATTGACAAGCAGCTAAACTCCAATTATTAATTAGTAGGTAATCGTAGTATTGTATTTTCATTTGTTCACCAGTTTTGCTGCGTCTTAGTTATCTTCTCTGATGTCATACAGTGTAATATACAAAGATATAACGTGGAGAATACCAATGGATTTATAAATCCATTTCTCTGGGATATTTCGTTAATTCTAGAGTAAAAAAATTTTGGTAAAAAATACGAAAAAATACGAATAAATACGAACGCACCCCTAAAATTTGAAATTCGTATTCGTATTTTTTGTAGTTGGACCCCCCCCTGACGTTACGTCACTGATAAAGTTAATACACCTCCTCCCCACTAATAGTGCACTAACCTGGAAATGAGGGAGTAGTGAGGACCAGCGTCAGTAACTATAAAAAAAGCCCCCTATCATGATACTTTAGTTTCTCATGCAGGATTAAATAATAGTAGTTGAACCCAACTTACACCAGATAAGATATGACTCAGTCACTTTATCTACATTACCTGGCAGACGTAACAGCCGAAGTGCCGAACTTATAGACCACAAAGTCTTGAGGGGAGAGGTCGTTAAGATCAACAGGTATTAGCTCAGTATCAAAATCGTGTTCAGAGTTCAATTTTGAGATATACCCTACTGAGGGTGAAAGTTTGGTTACCAAGTGAGATGACACAGTCAGTTACTTAGATACCGTGGTTACTAAATGACGGCAAATCAGTGACTGTAGGGACGGAATTGTATAATAATTGCCAGAATTATGTCAAATATGAAATAAGTGCCAAGAGTCAGTTTTGTGGGTTATCTTACTGGCTTTAACTTAGGGGTTTTAAAAAGTGTAAATGGTTGAATAAGTACGTACGTTTGGTACGTTTTGGTGAGTTTGGCAGGGCGTGCTCAGGACAACTGCATCGAGTGCGTCCTCCTCCAGCTCAGCATTGAGTTATCGTTTGTCGGAGTGTATCCCGGAACCGGTGGTGTGTCTGGGTACTGTTCCATAAATCTGCCTAGACCAACTTTGAAACTGTCTAGCAATGTGATACTCCGAAGCTCCGATGGGAGCACGTTGAAGAGCTGAGCTGCTCTAACTCTAAAGCTGTTGTCGTAATCTGTTCTAACCGACAACTGTGCGTTTTTGTTCATGGCTGGGATCTCTGCCTTAATACCATGCCTTTGATGAGACTTGAACTCGAAGCCCGTATCGTTCGGAGCATGTTCATTAAGAATTTTCCATACATGAATAATAGAATAACGCTCTCTCCGCCTCTGCAGGGACATCAACTTAAGCTTCTTCAGCCTGTCCCAGTACTGGAGATCACGGCAGCCAGATATCTTTCTAGTAAAGGATCTCTGTACAGTCTCCAGCTTTTGTATCTCTGTGACTTTTGTAGGGTTCCAGACTGGACAGCAGTACTCTAGCTTGGAGCGAACCATGCTTTTGTATAAAGTCAGCATGACTACTTGTGACCGGTCTCTAAAGGCACTCAATGTCCAAGCCGCCATTTTTCTAGCTCCTTGAACTGTCTTCTCAATGTGAGGACCCCATGACCTACTGCTGCTAACATACACTCCAAGGTCTCTGACAGTTTCCTGTGGTGATATTGCGTGTCCTTTTGGCGTAGTATACTCAACAGTCTCTGGGTAGAACGGGAGCTCTCTTAGAGCTTTTGATCCATTCAGGGGGTAGTTTACAACCTCAAACTTATGTTCGTGTAGCTCCATGTTGTTAACACGTGACCACTCGATGACTATGTTGAGATCATCTTGCAGTAACTCTACACTACTCATTCCTCGGATAGCCCCAATCAGCTTTGTGTCGTCTGCAAAGCTGAATCCGTTACTATAGCTAATGCTGTTCAACAGATCGTTGATGTACAGGATAAATAGGATCGGTCCTAGGACTGTCCCTTGTGGCACCCCACTTGCCACTGGCTGGAAGGATGATTTGCGACCTTCAACAACGACTGTTTGTTTTCTGTTTAGCAAAAACTCTTTGATCCACCTTAAAGCCTGGCCACCAATTCCGTATCGACCAAGCTTGGCTAGCAGCACTGCATGGTCGACCTTGTCAAAAGCTTTGGCAAAGTCGAGGTAAATCACATCAACTTCTTCATCATTGTTGAGTGATTTGTAGATCTGTTCGATGTGACTGAGAAGCTGCGTCATGCAACTCCTCTTTTTTCTGAACCCATGCTGGTTCGTATTGATCATCATGTTCTCTTCCAAATGACGAACCAGGTTTTTTCTGATTACACGCTCAAATGTCTTTATGATGTGAGAGGTTAAAGACACTGGTCTATAGTTTGCTGGGTCCGTTCTGTCCCCCTTCTTATAGATAGGGGTGATATATTGGGTCTTTAATTCCGCTGGTATATACCCACTGCTGAACGATTCCTGCCAGAGGAGTGTTAGCGGGTCTGCAAGTTGTTCTTTGCAGGCTGTGAGTATCCTAGCAGGAATCTCTCCGTCAGGTGCGGCCGAATAGGGATCCAGTTCTCCTAATGCTTCAATGATATCTTTTCTTGTGAAGCTTAGCTCGTTGAATCCGGAATCCAGTCCCTGAGGTAATCCTTGGCTCTTCATACATTCATCAATATCGGCACTCATAGGGTTACTAAATACCTTCTGGTACTGTTTCTGAAGTAACTCTGCCTTGATACTGGGGTCGTCCACTAGTGCCCCAGTCTCATCTCTCAACACCAGGATCGTAGATCTGGTCTTCTGGAGACGCTTGGCATACGAAAAGAAGTATTTGGGGTTCTTCTTTATTGCATCGACTGCCCGGAGTTCTTTTTTGTTCAGTTTCTCAAGGGTCCCTTCCTGTATGGAGTAACACAGTAGTGAAACCTCCGTTTTCAGTTTAGGGATTAAACTCGAGCTAGGATTCATTTCCTGTAATGCACGTATCCTAGCATTCATTTTCCTTCGTCTTCTTTTCATGACATGAACGTGCTTATTCCCTCTTCTCTTTCTTGAGGTAATCTCCGCTGCACTCTCTTTCTTTGGGGAGAACTCCAAGGTAATCTGGAGCACTGTTAGCTTGAACAATTCCAGAAAAGCGTTCAAGTCCTCGTCACAGAGTTCCCAGAGCTTCAGCCAGTCGACTTTCTGAAGGCAATCACTGATTGCCACAAAATCGGCTTTGTGATAATCAACTGCCCTGTAAGAGTTTGGGTCGGTCTTGCTGGTTTCGTTCTTCTTTCTTCCAGTCATATTAAAACCAAGCTGAATTTCGACCAAGCTGTGGTCTGATAAAGATGTGGGGTTCACCTTTACTTCTGAGACATACCTAGGAACATTTGTAAGTACAAGATCTAGGGTGCTACCTTCTCTTGTTGACTGGTTTACGACCTGTGTTAGAAAGTTACGGTCTATAAACTCTATAAATCAAGACACCTGGCTTCACTTCTTAAGCCTCCATGTTCCCAGTCTATCTCTGGATAGTTGAAATCTC